GAAATTCAAATCCCTGGTCCGAGTGAGAGAGTATGCAAGAGAGAGAGAGACCTGCTAATATTGTTTACCAGAGGGATATGCAAAGCAAATTAACTAAGCTTTAGGAGTCTCAACGTCAGAGCCTCTCAAGTCCATTGATGTCCTGGTCTTCCAACCAAGGGTTGGTTCAGTACCTATCCTTTTCGAGATAGGACTAAAAAGACCAATGGATCATCAAGCCCATTGACAAGCCTTACAGCCATGCTCACTAGGTCTATACAATACATTAGAAGGCTAATCCATTTGAGACCAAAGAAATAAAGCAGGCACAACAATTTCACTCCCTAACACTTCATTTTCTTAAATAATTTTATCATAACACTATTTCATCAGATCCAAGAACACAAATCCATTCCACAGGCTATGTAATAGCATCGATGCAAGGAGGTTCCTCGACCTCACAAAAACTGCCCCCATCACCACCCCCAAAAACACAAGTGGCAACAATCTCTGCAAATTGAAGTGAACCACTGCAAAGGCCAATGAGCTCATGGCCACTGAGCACCAAACCGGCATGTATCTGGTCAAAGATGGCAATAGAAACCCTCGAAATATAATCTCTTCCCAGATTGGTGCACAAACCGAGACCACTATGGCATAAAGGGCCATGGCCACTGGATCACGAGCCATTATCGATCTCTCAACGCTTGAAGCTGAAACGGGGTTTGGAAGAGGAAGGAGTTTGAGGTTGATTTGAGAGAGGCAATTAACAAATGGGAATAGGAGGCAACCCAAGCCCACGTCAATGTGCCAACTCCCTTTAAGTGTGAAGGAGAACCAATGAGCAGGCAGGGGCTTGAACCTGGCAAGGCATCGATGGAGGATGACAATCCCTGTGAGGCCCTCAACCACGTCGGTTAAGAGACTGTATAGAGCTTGGCCTCTATATGTCAGAGCTTCTTTGTTTACACCTGCTGCATGGGCGATGAATGGTACAATCCATGACCCAACTAGCCAAAAAGAAGCAATCCACAAAAACATGACCTGAATGAATAGATAAGAGTTCACCGAGAATAGAAATAAGATGAGAAATTTCATTCTATTCGTGAATGATGATGATATTGGTTGGATGTTATAAAAGATGATGCTGGTGTTGATGTTACATTCACTTCTAACTAATGCATACTGGAAAAAAATAAAATAAATGCTCATCTTGTAATGATGATGGTGCTCATGTCATAACGATGATGGCGAAGGCAATAATGAGAAATTCATGATAGTAACATTGCGCATTGAATATGAGTTTTATGTTAAAGGGCCACCTTTTTAATTTCAAAAAAATTCAAGATCAAAAGACCTAGAGAACAAGTATCTGACCTGGAGGATGGTCTCTGCAGTCCATGGCACTGTCCATGGTTCACCTTGTAATATTCTGTGGTTTGCATCTAGTAGCTGAAACAATAGAGAAAAAAACTGAACTTAACCTGTCATCTTCATCAAATAAAGATCATGAATATGACAAGGAAAAGAGTTCAGTAGTGTAAGTTGAGAGTTGGACATGGAACCAAAGGGTTATGACATGACATTTGAGACAACAAGCTCCATAGGGCTAGCTCCATATGGCTAAAGGCTACAGCACTTTGGCTCCCCCAAATTTTAAGGACTAAATCACCACAGTATTCCTCTTTATTGGTTTTGTTATTGCAGCCTAGGGCTTCTTAGGAGGTCATTCGAACAAGTAGTGATATTACACAGGGATGTTAGATGGGATGTAGTGCATGTGCGCTTGTTACACCCAAAAGCTTCCATATTATGTACTAAAATAGATAATCAATCTTGAACATAAGCAGGACCCATCCAAGTAGAGCTTACTGTATTTGTGGATAGGCTATCAAAGATAAGAAGGTATCGTGCCAAGGAAAATTGACATTCCTACAAGAATCACTACCTTTTTATGCGTCTTATTCTTTGAAACCTTAAAAGTAAACATGCTCATTTTGGGGTTAATTACCGCTTAAGCGCATAATGCCTTATCTGCAGTGCGATAGTTGAGAAAAGAAAGGGTCCAGGCGCCTTTTTGGATATAATGCAAAATGCTGCTTATTTGCAGGTTTCTGCATTGTGGCGGGCATGAGATACGATCTCACAAACTACTGAGCAGTGACATGCCAACACATTATGACCGTACACATACTGGAAGCAATTCCAAATCCAGAATAAACTCATATACCCAATGTAAAAAACAAGAGTGCTGATGTATCAAATGATAAGGCTACACTTATTAAGCAGAACTATGAGCACATTATGTGGGTGGAGATTGCTATGGGAACAGGCTAGGATTAGCAGCTAAGATTTATGTCGATTAGGCTATACTTTGAAATTAGGTATGAAAAAGGCTGAATAACAAAGCACAAAGTGGCCAAGTCTCACAATACTCGTAGCCAAAATTGTTTGAATAGAAAGTCAAATTTAAGGAGATAACTTGAATGATAACATCAGATTTTGGGAAATGGAATAACATCAGATAACTTTGCTTCATTAATGCTAGGAACTTTATGAAAATGAGTCAATGAAAAACTCTACACCTAACTTGCAGTGATAACATATGGACTTCGTCCCTTTGCTAGCCAATCAGCCATCTCATGGCCTCCTGACTATCAGAAAGATCGTGAGATTGCCAGTTCTTTCCAAAATTTCTTCAAACATGTTACAGAGTGGTCGTGGGTACTCTGACTCACAACTTGACCAATGAGGATGCAATAATATTACTTGAATCCTCCTCAATCGACTATTGACCTCCAAACCAGATTCAGATATCTCACATCTGCTGGGAATTGCCCAGTATCAGCTTCGTTTGACACAAACTCCACGTGGGCCGGAGTAGTTCATGAAGTTCCTGCCTCGAAGATCCCTAATGACCCCTCCCCTCCCAGCCAGACCTATATACCCCAACAAGCATCCATAAAATTTGATCTTAACGAAATCTTCAGGGGAGAAGAAGCGTTTCTACTCTAATATGTTAAGGCACCTTTCTTATGCTATTTCAAGCCATTGATTCTCAAAATCAACCACCTGATACCTCAAAATATCTCTTCTTGTTCTAACCCAAGCTTTGGCCAACTTTTTGATCCATTCCTCATGCCTTTTATCATTGAAGCATCTACTGCTCCTTTCATACAATATACTACATCAAGGACAAAACTGTCGACTTACACACAGTAAGGCCCTTTGTAGGTAATTCTGTGGACAGCCACTGCACTACGAGACTGTTAATTGAATCCACCGTCACCGACCCAAAGTGGAAAGTTTCAACACAAAGCTCATACTCCTCACTCTCACCCACAGCAAACGTAGATGTGACAACTCTTCATTGATACATGTCCACTTCAATATAGCTTTATCACATCCATCTTCCTCACCTTTCATTTCTCTCGCTAGATATGGAATATAGATTAACATTCATTCTTCCCTTTTTCACCCCCTCTCATCACTTTATTAAGGGAACTGGAGGTATGTCTCATTATGAATTGGATTTGCATCTTCAAGTCCAACAGCTATAATTGATCCCAGCATCTTCCTCAATCCATCATCTATGATATATATATATATATATATATATATATATATGTGAATCCAACCTGCTTAACTCAGGGATTAGAACCTCCCATTTGTAATGTGATGGCCATTGGTTCTCCTCTTATCCATAAGTGAAGAATCGTAACACCTCTCCACCTAAGATTGTAGTTAGAAACCTATTAAGCACTTTGCGTGGTCCTAGTATACCCTATACCATCCTCGATATCAATTTCTCTAGCAAAGTCCATGTCAGAGAATTGGTAGAAAGACTCAACCGAGATGATCCCTCTACTGCTAGGACCCCAGATCAATATATCTTCCCTTGGTATGTAGAAACAAGGCATATTACTCTGATAGCTAGTCAGACAACCATTCGACTTTATCCTTGAGGTCGCACCTAAGATCAGGGGACCAGAACAACATCTGGCTTCTTGTGCTCTGCCTCCTCCTCCTGTACAGGGATTTGCTGGTTACCAGCCAAAGCATGCAAACCAGGAAATTTTAATTTGAGTGGACTGGGACCTAACCATGAGTCTTTCAATAAATGTACCTTGTCACCAATGCCTACATTGAATATGAACTTGCACATGCAAACAGATCGAGTTTGATTAATCCCATTCCACGCGCCCAAGAGATGTCCTCTTCTCCATACTGGTTTCACCATCCATCCAAATTCCTCGACTCTGTAGCATTCATACAACTTCTTCCTCAAATGTTTCAAGCTATCTCTGAACATCCACAACCATTTTCCCAAGAGGGCTCGGTTCATTTGCTTAACTCTTCAAATACATGAGCCCCCTTCACCTCTTTGGCAAGCACACTCTTTCCAATTTGCAGCAAATGAAACTTTCTTTAGTCCAAGGATATACCCCAAAGGAAATTACATCGGCATATTGATTTTGAGGATCACTATAGCTGGTTAAAAATAATTCAATCGGGACCCCATTTGTCATTCCATATTGATCCGCATAAGAGAAGTAAAAGCACCATACGGACAGCCATAGGTTGGTCATTCGGAAGGAGCTTGATTCCCATCTGCATATTCCAGATGGGCGATTGTTCCATACAACAGCACTGCCTTATAAATCCCATTGCCATGCAACTAAAGGCTTCACACACTAGTGCAAAAGTGAATGGAGATAAAGAATCCTCCTTTCTTAAACCTCTAAAGCTTGGAATATAGCCTTTTGGGAAGCCATTTACTAGAATTGATAGATTTAAATAGCATTTGATCCAGCCCGCACTTCATTCCAAACTCCATAAGGATCATTATTTCATCCAGGAAGGAGCATTCTACGTAGTAATATGCTTTTTCAAATATAATCTTTGGTAGCTTCTCAAGGCTTTTTCAAAAATAACCTTCAGTAGCTTCTCAAGGCTTTTTCAAAAATAATCTTCAGTAGCTTCTCAGGGTGCTTTGAATGAATGCACTCCTGAGCTACCAATGCAACATCTAGGTTCTATTTGTTTTCTACAAAAGCAGGTTCTGAGGAAAAGATTATCTGGTCAAGTATTCCCATGGTGCCTTGAGATCTGGAAACACACACAAGCAATAAGTAAATGATATGGAAGACCACAGTATCTCTTCAAAAGCGTTGAACCAAATCAATAACGACTATACTAGACACACGTTCTAAAGTCAAACTTCATTCCTAAGATCCATGTGAAACCCTTGATCACTAAAACATACCACAGCATAGCTTCAACACTCTCCAATGAAAATTTCCAATAATGAAGTTGCAGCATAATTTTTCTAGACCCACAAGCCTAAGGTAATAGATCAAGACACTTGGGCAGCCGCCCCTCAAGTTGGGTCTTAAATGAAGTTTACAAATAGCCATAAAGGTATATGGACTTTATTTGGTATCTGATGCTGACATTCTGTTCTATCCGATGTCAAGAGCAGCAATTGGGGATATTTGGGTTGCATAAGACTGTATGCAAATCACTTCTTGCACCCATTAAGGAGGACGGGGGTACCACGTATCATAATATGACAAAGATATAGGATAAGCTATCCATCCAATAATTGCAAACACCACCAAGATCCATGACACGTGAAATAAGAGTGATAAAAAAACTGTTGACCTAACAAATATGAGGGAAATCTGGTTGATTATAAATTGGCTAAGGGGACAGAATGATGGGTCTTGGTAAATGGAAGAGATGTTCCACAACAAGAAAGTCCATCATAGACGACTATGATTTGTTTCCATTCTTTGTGTTTTTACATATATGTTGTCCATTGGAAATTCAGGACACGAAACTCTTTATTGACCAAGAACTCTCACAAAACTATGATTCAATTAATCTAATGGAAATTAGCGTACCCATCTTTATCTAATGAGAATACGCAGCTATCACCCTTTCCAATTTCAACACTTAGAAATTGCCAACCAACTCTAGCAGTGGAAACCTTTGATATCAGAATTACACAGCTCCCAACCAGTTTGCTGGAATCATCTGAGTTTCACTTTGAAAGGAGTGAGATCGCCACAAAACACCATGGGTCCAACATATGCAATCAACCAGATCATGAACAGTGATCGTTCTAAAAATAAAATAGAGACTGCTCACCTTTCTAAGTCTCCGAAGCCACTGGTTTTTCTCCTCTTTTGAATCATCCAAACCATGACTATTTGATTCAATTTCAATGTCTTCAACGGACTTGTCATTGTTCAAATCATACGACTCCGGGTGGTTAGAACAATTTAATCTCCATCTCTGCAAATAAAATAAAATAAAAATAAATCAAAGAAAGAGAAGAAAGGTAAGTAATTTGGCATTACAAGTGCTAATATACGTTGAATTTCTCATGTCATATTGACAGAAAAAGATGATATTAGAAATGGATAATAGCAATAATAATGGACATAGAGTTCGCTCATGACCAGAGTACCAGGACTCGCCCCAGTCCACTCCAACTCGGGCGAGTAACCCAGCCATGCCCATATTTCCCCTAAGTTGGGCGCAGAAAATGGGGGTAAACAAAATTCAAAAAGTTGCTAAAAAAATTTAAAAAAAAAAAATGTCAATATAATATTTTGTATATGATTTGGATGTATTTGGTAAAGGTGACTGTTTTTTCTCCATAACCGCTATTTCTATATTCTCCTCCTTATAATTTTTTTTAACTACCCTAGTTTGTAAATTGTTTTTTTTTTTCTAAATCCATTTTTTCAATTTTTTTCTACATTTTTTAAGCTTGTTTTAACTTTTTTGAGTTGTTTTAGTATTTGGTTTACTTTTACTACATGTTTATTATTTTTTCAATATTTTTTTCTTTCTTTTAAATTTATTTGGACCAAAATGCCCTGTGCTGGACTGAGCCAAGTCTTAGAGGACTCAGCCAAGTTACCCGGCTCTGCCTTTACCTTGGCCGAGTCGATTTTTCTGCATGATATTAGAAAAGCATAAGCAACAATGGAAATATAGGGGTTGCTTATTTTATCAGACTCGTGGCAAATCCTAGAAAAATGAAATACTCATAAACGATCCATACCTAGAGCCCAATCCGTACATAGCTTGGGCATCTTTTGTCGAAAAAGGAACGAAATCAAAATAGAAAACAGATATAAATCCACTTACAATAGAGAAATACGAATACCAATTACCCTACTCCTTATAAAACACAGTCAACCCCACAAATTCCTTTAAAAAAATCAATTTTTTCAAGTGAAAGGAGATTGGAATTGCTAAGACTATTTGATATTCTCAGACAAAATTGCATTCCTAATAAATTGACAGAAATTGAAGCCATGTTTTACCTTGTTCCAAGTATTTGAGAGAGAAACAAGACCATTGGAGCTCCAATTGAAACGCAGAGAGCTTCTGCTTTTCCTCTGTGGCCTGCGTGCGGGAAACCCCAAGAGAGGAGAAGCTTGAGTTGACACCACTGGACGCTTGCGAATACAAGAGCAAGGGCTTGACATGTTACAATTGCAGCCTGTATTGGAGCCTCAAACCCTAAATCTCTCCATGTTAAACCCTAATTCTCCCCATGAAAGAAAGATAATAACCATAAAAATTGTCCACTTATTTCTGTTAAAATGAGATGAAGTGGAGGAGGAATAGAGATTGTGCGCATGAAGAAATGTCGAGACCTTCCTCGTCTTTGACAAGCCTATCGTGAGCCATTAAGTAAATCGTTTGGGTTTTGAGTGTGTGTGTGTGCGTGTATATATATAAGAAGATGCTACGGTATGCCGATTCGTGTACTGCTACAGTAAACACCGAACGGCCCAGATCGAATCTGGGCCAATCTGATGATCACGAATGTCCGGTAATGTTTTATTTCTCTTTTTTTTTTTTACAAATCAGAATGATCTGAAATTTGGAGCGTGTATTCATAAAAAATAGGCGAAGCTACGAAAAATATCAAAAAAATATTTTACATGAAATAAATTGACCAAAATATCCCCAAAAAATTTCAGGGGTATTTTGGTCAATTTATTTTTTGCTACTCACTTTTTATATATTTTTATTAGGTGCACACTAAGATGCACACACGCTCCAAGTTTTAGATCATTCCGATTTGTAGAAAAAAATTAAAATTCAAACACTCTCGAACAACCGTGACCGTTAGATCGGCCTAAATTCGATCTGGGCCGTTGGGCATTTACTGTAGCGGTACGCACATGGGCGTACAGGAATTTCTTCCATATATATATATATATATATATATATAAATTATTTTACGCGAGCTGCACCGACATTTCTACGGTCTAGAAAGTGTAAAGCGTCCATCAATTGGATGCGGTTTGCATAGAGCCGAGGCTCTTATTAAAGTAGAGCTTACCTTCAAATAGTGTCTAGAAATGTGGTTTCGAAAATTTTTGCGATCGCCTTAAAATATATTTTCATCTCTAATTATAAAATTTAAAGTCTCAAAAATAGTGTAGATCAAGCAGATCTATGAAAATCTTGAAAGTTGACGGTCCAAAAATGCGTTACAAGATGCAATATTTCCAAAACTTGAAATCCATTTTTTTGGGCTGAATTGGACCATGTTGCTTCCCTAACTCATTCTGTTTGGTGTCTGAGGGGGGGGGGGGTGGAGGGGGGGGAATTCAACATCACCAGATGGTCCCACGAGAGAAATTCTAATCCCAGCATCTCTCAAGGAATGATGCATTTCTCGGACTTCCTTTTTCATCATGAACTACTAGATATACCCCTTCAAGGAAACCGTTTCACTTGGTCAAATCACTCCTATCAACCCTCTCTCTAAATCAAATCGATTCCTCCTTTCCTTGGATTGGGAGGAACAATTTTCGGGCTCTCAAGCTCTGGCTTTGCCGAAACCCACCTCTGACCACTATCATATTCTCCTTAACACTTTAGCCATCAGGAGAGGACCAAAGCGTTTTAGATTTGAACTAGCTTGGTTCGAAGAGGACTCACTCTCCACCCTGACTCCAACTTGGGGGAACTCCTTTTCCACCCAAGTCTCGGGTAGAGCAGGCTATAGGTTACAACCTAAAATCAAACTTCTCAAAGCCTCTCTCAAAACCTGGAGCAAGTCCATCCCCGAGAATTACTCCCAAACCAAATCCTCTTTGCTGAATTCCATCCAAGACCTTGATAGAACAGAGGAGTCCAAACCTCTGACAGCCACTGAAACAATCCTTAGAACCCAAACCAACCTGAAATACTTTTCAATTTTAAAAAAAGAAGAACTGTATTGGTTTCAGAGGTCCAGAGTCAATTAGTTAAAAGTAGGGGACCAAAATGCAGGGTTCTTCCACCGGATAGCTAACTACCACAGAAGAGACAATTCTAATTCCACTATCAAGGTGAATAATCGATATCTCGTTCAGCTAGAGGAAAATTGAGTCGTCCATCCTCGACTTCTTCAAGGCACTCTACACTGCCCCTCTGAGTCCCAAACCAAGGAAATCTGAGGCTTTATCTCTAATGCTTCAAAGAAGCTACAGCTTCAAAGTAAATATGGACAAATCAAAGATGATGGGGGTGGCACTTACAAACACCGAAATCTAAGCGCTAATTCCCTAATTCCTAATTGGGATTGCAAAGTGGAGGCCTTTCCCTAGGAAAACCTAATAAGAGACAGTGGTCCCAAGTCATAGACAAAGTAGACAAGGGTCTAGCTGGCTAGAAAGGGAGATTCCTTTCCCTGGCTGGCCGCACCGCACTGATAAAAGCAACACTGGCAAATGCCTTCATCTACCTTATGTCTCTCTTCCACATGCTGGCCTCGGTCACCAAACGCTTTGACCAGCTGATAAGGAATTTCCTTTGGTCAAGACAGGCCAAGATGATCAAATGTCACCTCATCTCCTGGGACAAGGTGTGCCTACCCAAACTCCATATTGGGCTCGGGATAAGAACCCTCAGAAAACACAACATGGGCCTACTTGGAAAATGGTGGCGGCGTTTAGCCACTCATCCCAACTCCCTCTGGGTTCAGGTCATACGCAAAAAATACAGGATTTCGGATGAAACATGGATACCAAAAAGAAAGGCCCTAGGTAGGGTTTCAAGGGCATGGAAGTCTTTTGCAGCCTCTCTCTCACTATTCAAAAAATTCATCCGCTTTCATCCTAGAGAAGGAATAAGAGTGCGTTTCTGGTCGAACCTCTAGATAGGACACACTCCTCTAAGGGATCTCTTTTCGCCCCTGTACCATCAAGCCTCAAACAAAGAGGCTATCATTGCAAATGAAATGGTCATATCAGGGGACCGAAGAGTCAGGAACCCCTCATTCAGAATAAACCTCAACGAAGACGAAATTAGCGCTAGCTTCGTTTTACAAAAGACTTATCTATCCCCCCAACTTCCCTCTCAACCCTATCTCTGTCCGATCCAAGGTATGGTCTACCATTGCTCCTCCCAAAATATAGACGTTCACCTGGATTGCCTGCTCCCAATGGGCACTCACAGTTGATCAGCTCCAAAAGAAAGGGATTCAAATCCCCAACCGATGCGCCATGTGCTTATTGCGAGGTGGAATCAAACCCATACCTCTTCATTCATTGCAACATCTCTTTGGACCAGTGGAGCCAAGTGATACAGCTGTTTCGTCTTCAATGGGTCACCCCACCCTCGATCAAGGCTCTCGTCTCCTCGTACCACGCTCCTCATTGGTCGAGGGCCAGAAGAACTTTGTGGAAGGCATCCATCGCAGCCACCATATGGGTCATCTGGCAAGAAAGGAATGCCACAAAAATGTAGACTCAACCCTCTTCCACAAGGTTACTACTCTAGTAACTTTCTAGGCCTCCAATACAGGGCCTTCTCCGGGATTGCAGCAAAGACTTTTCTCAATCAATGGAAAAACATCCTCTATCTCCAACCACAGAAGGCCCAAAGACCCAACAATTGGCAGCCACCTCCAAAAGGTGCAATTAAGCTTAACTTCGATGGCTACTCTCTGGAGAACTCTGGTCCCGCTTGAGCAGGTGGTGTTTTTTGAGACCATCACCACAACATCCTGTTCACTTTCTCCGAACACTTAGGCTATGAAGACTCTCAATATGCTTAAGCCATGGCCCTGCTCATGGGTCTAAAAAGCTTCAACCATTCATGGGGCTCACATTTGCTGGTGGAAGGTGACGCTCAAAACGTCATCTCCTGGGCCGTAGGGCCTTCATCACCTCCATGGTACCTATCTTCCATTTTTTATGAAATTGCTTACACATGCAGGGGTATGGTCGTCTCAAGGAAGCATATCTGGAAGACGTCCAACTAGCTCTTCGATCTTCTTGTGAAAGAAGGAGCTAGGGCCCAAGCTGAAGACCCTGCCCGGTCCATCTCCTTTTTTGATCTGGACCACATAGGTCGTTACGAGTGTAGTTACTCTTTAGCACATCTCTTGTAATCGGGCAAGTCTATAAGCCCCAATTTTTTGTAACACAGAAAAATACTTTGCAATCGGGTAAGTCTATAAGCCCAATTTTTTGTAACCCAGAAGCAAACCTATTGTGATTGGGCGGATCTGTAAGCCCAATTTTTTGTATAGGGTCCTTTGACCTATTTTTTGGCCGAGAGACTTGACTTGTGGGTACTCTCAGATCCCTCTTCTATACTTAACACTCTACAGCAATACAACTGTTAACTTTACTCAAAAAAAAAAAAAGGATAACAGAATTAAAAAATAAAAAGAAAAAAAACAGCATGAATTTTCCCTTTTTCTCTTTTTTTTGAAATTTATGTTTTTATTTTTACATGTTTGAATTCTAAACAACAAGAAAATGAAAAAAAAAAATTTGTATAATGCAAAAAAGAAAAGAATAAAAATTGAAAAATGCAAAACACAAAAAGAAAGAAAAACCAAAAAGAAAGAAAAAGAAGAAAAAAGTACAAAGCATAGAATGATTTTTTTGCTTTTTGCATTTTTTTTGTCTTTTTTTCCTTATCTTACATTTTCTTGTAATTTAAAAAAATAAATTCTGATTATTTATTTTTTAATGAAATTTCCACATATTGTGAAGTGTGCTTTGTGAGTATGGATTGGATGTAAGATTTGTGCATTTTGATATAGTTTTTAATTTGTAAGAGATTCTTATTACCTATTGTGGTTGAGACTTGAGACTTTGATATTTGAATTGGAGAAAAAAAAAGTCTTCAAGTGGGTCTCATAGAGGAAGAACGGACCCGCCATGGTGCCATGTAAGAAGACAACATTAGGGAGACAAGTGGGAAACTATTTGCAGATATTGTTTAAAGCTAATAAAAAGTGGGGGAATACATTGGATTAAGGAGCATTTCGCCCAAAAGACTAGGAACATGGCCAAATGCCCCAAAGCTTTCTCTCATTTGATGTATTGAGATACAAAAAAGCATTGAACATCACATAACTGAGAAGTAAAAGAGGCAAACAATTGATGACAAGATCAAGAACCCTAATCCTACCCCAAGGAGGAGTATTTTGATATTAAGGAGAAGAGGAGGCTAAGAATCCCCCCCAAACTAAAAGGAGACTTGGGAAAGTGCGTGCCACCACAACTTCTACTGCTACTGCGACTTGCAAGCTAACAAGGCCAGGTCAAGGTAGGATAGGGGCTTATTTCCCATCGAGGACGACAACAGGCTCCCACCTAACCATCAAAAATATATTGGTCGGGGAGGAAGCCATAGAGAGGGTGAATTTGCGTGTAGTCCGGTGGATGTATCATTGTATTATCTCTTTCAATGCCCTCAACTCCGTTTATTTCCAGCATATGTTGGATACAAAGGCATCTGTAGGCATGGGGTATAAAGACCCTTCCTATATTAAAGAATGTGGAAGAGGTTAAAGTGTTCACAACCAAATATAGGGCACTATGGAAGACATATGGATGTTCTATCATGACTGATGGATAGAAAGATAAAAAAGATATGCAATTAATTAATTTTTTGGAATATTGTCACAAGGGAATAGTTTCCTTGAGGTTTGTAGATGCCTCAACGTAATCAAGACTGCATAAGAATTACTTAAGTTACTTAAGGATGTTGTTGAGGAAGTGGGGCCAAAGAAGGTGATGCAGTTTATCATAGAAAATGCCGTCGAATACTCCTTTTGGGCGCCATTGCTACAAGCTCATTATCCCTCTTTCAGACATCTTGTCCAGCCCCTTTTATAGACTTATGCGAGATGATCCAGGGAAGATGGAATATGTTAAAGAAATTATAGATAATGCAGAGGATATTACAAATTTTATCTAGGGAAAATATCTCCTTATCCCTTATTTTTTACTTCCATATCTCATGAGACCCAAGAATTGAAAATATTACTTGTAAGCAAAAGGTCTCCATCCCCTTTGACCATAAATTTTTGACCCAAACAAACACTAAAATGACACCCTATTCAAACTCCATCTCTTTCTCTAAAACTCCATCTATCTCTCTTCACTTCTCGGTGAGTTTACCAGCCAAAGGGTTTAGCTT